ACTTAAGTTGCCGTCTTAACGGCTAAGCTTCGTCGCCGTCCTATGACCCTAAATGGGCCCCCCGCTAATCCTCAATTTGGCACCCCAACATCTGGCCTTTATATGTAGTCTCATTCAAAAACATGAACCTCTAACAACTGAACGTAACCTACTCTAAGACACTATTTTCGATCTGCCCCGGCATCCTGTCTCTGGACCCCCTTTATGAGCTCCCGTGTCCCTGGCCCCTTGGAGACTTGTAAGTTGTGGTGTAATATCTATATCTATCCCCGGTAAAGTCTCCAGCAGTCCAGCCGGGCACCCTGGTGACCCCCCTGAGGTTCTGCAGACCCCCTCCCCACTCAACGCTTGCTATGGTGCATCCCCCTTGCGGAGTCCCTATAGCTGAGCGCGCCGTGCGGGTCCGGTCCGCGCGCGCCGCCCCCGACCCCTCATCGGGTGTTGGAGTTGCCAGCGTACTAGAGGGCCGAGGGGGCCAGTCTGGCCTCCCCTCGTCCCCCCCGCATAGCGACATCGGGCGGCCGCGCACCCGAACCGTCCCCCACCCCGCGCTATTCCGCACCCCCTCCACCCCCCGTGGCTACCCCCCTCCCAAACTTTACTGGAGCCCACCCGCTACCGGGGCGGGGGGGGGGGGACCCCGCAGACCCGGGTCCGGGGGCAACCCCCCAGCCCCGACCTCACCCACTCGGGGGGGCCGCATGTGGCTCCGTCCCCAGGCTCTAAGATGGGCGTTCAGCCGTGAGTCCGTGCCCCTCACCTCACCCCCCGTACCGGGGTCTCAGTCTGCGCGGGTCAACCAGGGTGCCGTGAGTCAGCTCGTCCCGTACCCCCCCAGGGGATCCCTTGAGTCCAGAGTCCCCAATCTCCAATTTCCATATCAGGTGCCGGGGGAGTCCAGGTGTTTGTTCACTCTTCTGGACCTCCCGGGCCACGCCGGCGAGGTCCCAACGATGCTGCCGCTGAAAGAGTCTCTGCTGGGACGTCAGGGCCCGTCGGTCGGGCCGGGGGGCTTTCCAGAATCCAATTCGGCACCACTACATGCGGGAGGCCCGCTGCCTGCACAAATCGCAGAACTTCATTAGGCCAGCGTAAGATGTGCCACTGATTGTCCACCTCGCGGAACTTCATTGGGCCAGCGTAAGATGTGCCACTGATTGTCCACCTTGGCCTGGAGGCTGAAGGGAACCCCCATTTATATGGTATGCGCTTCTCCTGCAACAGGCTTGTGAGGGGTTTTAAAGCTCTGCGGGCCTCCAGTGTCAGCGAGGAGAGGTCTTGATAGAGTGAGATTTGTGCGTCGCCATATTGAACAACACGTTGAGATCTGGCGGCTCGCATAATGGCCTCCTTTAGTGGGAAAGACTGTAGGCAGCAGATGAGGTCCCTAGGGAGACCATCTCTCCGCGGGGCTCGGAGTGCCCTGTGCGCTCTCTCGAAGCCAAACTCCATCGGTGCCTCCTCTCCCAGAATGTGATGGAAGAGCCCCGTGAGGAGCTCCCTGGGTGATTCCCCCTCCGACTCCGGCATGCCTCGCACGCGGATGTTATTGCGATGGCCTCTGTTATCGAGGTCTTCCACCTGGCGTCGGAGTTCCAAAAGCATGTTCCCTTGCCGAGAAGCCGCCAGTTCTGCTGATTGTAGGCGGTGAGTGGTTTGTAGGCGATCTTCCTCTAGGCTGTCGACCCTCTGCTTCAGCACTGCTAGGTCCCTCCTCACTGCCGTGACCTCCTCTCGTATTGCCGCCCGGAGTTCCGCCACCATCGCTGCCTTATCACTGCGTGTCAACATATTCGCTGAGATTGCTGTCAGGTCAGCCGACATTTGGCTCAATGTATCCCCACCTGGGGAACCTCTGGGGGAGCCAGCTCTGTCACTCTGCCATCTTGTCCGTTTCCCGCGCTCCGCCAAGAATCTGCGGGGTGGCGAGGTATTCGTCCATGGGTCCCGTGGTATAATGTGTCGGGGCATGGGATGGCCTCGGGGTCACCCCTCGCTTAGTTTTCCCCATAAGTGCAATGATTTTGCTTCGTTAACAGGGCGCTTAGCGAGTTGGGGCCTAGGAGCACTCGTCAACTGCGTCCTACTCCATGTACAGTTCGGCCACGCCCCCCGGGACTGTGGTTTTTGTACATGGTTACCTAGATATATTAAAAAAAACATTTTTTTTTTATTTTTTTTTAAAAAGGAAGTACCTAGAAAGGTTACACAGTTTGAATCTAGACAGGTGTTAAGCTGGTAAAATCAGAGGGGTTTCATAAAACTCTTCTGAGGCACTGGGGTGAATTCAGAGGAGCTGCCAAAGGTGGGTTATATTGTCATGAAAGTTCGAATGTCATCACATTTGTCATGTTTTTTAATGTTTTATTATATTTAATGAAACTTAATATTGGTTTTTTTATTTTTAGATTTTTTTAACTATTGATTGGGAGTGCAGTTAATATTTTTTTTTGTACGTGTTGGGTCAGAATCTACTTTTATCACACCAACTGCTGCTCAACCTTATGAACATTGTCTGTTACTGCAGCTTCACACAGAGTAATCACAGCATTGCACTGTGTGCTCTTCACTCAGTAGATGAGGGAGGGAAGTTACACCCTAAGCAACTCAAACAGAAACTAAAGGTTATGCATTTTTATAAGGAGTAGAAAGCCACAGCTCTGATAGTGAAAGTGTTCTGGTTAAACAGCCTCCAGAGCACTCCTGCAAGCAGGGCTGCCTGCACATTTGTGCAATGTAGAAGGTTAGATTCAAAATAATGAAATGTTGCAGTTAGATGTAGAAGGGTACAGACTAGGAACAAATATACATATGACATAATGTTAGGATCATTTTATATGCTGAGGAGGGCTTCAAGGGAGAGAACAGATAAATACACACAGACATGGATGTCTGCTTTTGCAATGAAGTGCACACACACAGTGTGTGAACCTGTAGCAGGAGAGAAGTTAGAGCAACATTTGGTCTGTTAAAAGTAGAATTTTAGAGGCGGAGCCTAACCGCCGAGCTGGAAGGACGTGTTGAACACCAGCTCCTGCCTGAACGCAACAAAAAGAAGGGTAAATACCCCAAAAATCGGTGCGTCCACCAGCTGGAGGGTATGAGACAGAGTGGGGACACCCAGGAGCACAAAATGATACCAAACCCGAGTACCCCACAGCCCGGAAACCCACAAAAAGCGCCTGAGGCCTACCAGCGACTGAGCCGGGGAGAGGCGGCCGCTCTCCTCGAAGACACAGCCGCGCATAGAACCCTCGGCGCACCCACCTCTCTCCACCCCCCCCCCCAGGACCGGCGGGGGTCATCCCGGTCCACACTAGACACCAGGGCTGCCAACTGACACAGCCTACCAAGCCTGTGCCAATACCTCACAGAGACAGCTCCTCGCATGGCGAGTCCAAGATGGCAGCTGGCGGCAAGAGGCACACGGCAAGCACACAAGCGAAGTTGGCGAACATAGTACCAATAAAACCTACTGGAGGCCCACAGGAACCTCTTGAAAAACGGCTAGATGAGCTCTTTCGTGCCTTCTGGCTGAAGCTCGAACACAGACAAGCTCTGACCGCAGAGAAAAGCAGAGAAGATGGAGCACAGAGGCTCCAGCCCTGCACAGCTATGCTCTCCACAGCCTGCTCAGCGCATCCTGGGAGGAAAGCCCGCCAAACCACAGCCCGTCCACGTCCTGTGAAACGCAGTACCTGCTCGCCTAAACAGAAAACTAAACGGAGGACACCCTGGATACAAGCTACACGCCACCGGCGGGAACAACCTTGCCCTCAAACCAAGCATACTGCCAGCTGGGACACAGCTCGCGGAACCAAGAGGGACCAAAGAGCTGGGAACTACACAGGTGCCCTCGCAGAGGTCTGGGGCCAATGGGGTAGAATGATACAGCGCGACACCTCACCGACACCCGCACAATGCATACCCCGGACCACCACGAAACTCCCACATGGACCGAAGCCGGTCTCACCCAAGCCCTCACTCAAGCCTCCACCAACGCCAAGCACAAAAGCTACGAAGAGCCCTCTCCCAAACCCACGCAGAGTGTCAAAGATACTCGGAGCTCCGACAAGCGGATGGGGGAGACCGGGGCAGAAGCCCCCTTTTACACACTATAAATGGTTACCGGGACTGTTTCTGACTGGCGTGGGCTGAATGGAGAGCAATTCACAACCTACAACATCTCGGCACCAGGACATTGGCACCATCCTTCTCTTGACCTCGAAGACCTCGTAAGAGGGACATGTTTATTCCCCCCTTTTCTTTTTTTTTTTGTGTGTGTTTTTTGCAGTTTCACTCTTGGGTTATTTCAATGGCTCCTATGACGAACAAAATGAGAAGTAGTAGTTCTTCTGTTTCACATGCCTATCTAACCACCGTCATGCCTGAAAGAATATGCACAGAGATAGCATGTTTAGCCTGTATAGCATTATTACACACCTATATGCATACAACATCTTTAAACCCCAGCACAGCTCCATATGTTACACAATCTATTGTTGCCTACGCTAACAGAAAACCAGCACGCTACTCATCTAGCTATTAACTTAATCTAAACTACAAACACTAAATCCAAACACTACAAACACTAAACTACAAACACATTTCAATCTTTACCTTCAATCGTCACTCACATGTCTAGCAAGTACATACAGTTAGACATGCAATTCCAGCTAGTACTGGACATGATTATTTTGTCTAGCATGTTTCCTGATACGCCTGTTTGTAATATGCTATTACTCGTGTACTAAAAACAAAAAAAGTGCAGCATACCACGATGACGCTAAAAGACACATTGTTACCCTATCTCTAAAGCTATGTGATAATGCTGAAATGTATATTTAACACTGCACTGAAAATAAAAATAAAGAATAAAAAAAAAAAAAAAAAAATAGAATTTTACCCAACATGGTTGTTGAGCCACGTAAAAAAAATTAATTTTCTCCAAAAAAAATAAATCAATATCACTGTACATCATTTAAAAATATAATTACGTTTGAGAATGTGATGACAGTTGTCCTTTAAGCCCCAGATAATTTTTAAGCCTAGAGACTCCCCTGGAATGATTGGTTGTTTGGCACTAAATCACAAAGCTCACATATAAGCTAGAGAGTTAATTACTTTACAAGCTTCTTTTTTTTGTGTGCTGACTGCTTTGTACATTGCTCTCTGCATCTTAATACGGTCATCTCAAACTTGTGTCTTTTTCTGTATAAACTGCAACTTCTATCTAATGAATGTCCTTTAGTGTATGGCTTTGAGTTTTAATTTGTTCTTATGTAATACTCAGTGCACGGATTCAGATGGGCCAGCTGTGAACAGGGCCAGAGCATGGTGTGACATGATGGATATTCCTTATTTCAGGTGAGATATCATAAGCCCAGTTGGTTGTTACTGTTAGGCATCCTAGTTTTCTGCTTAGATGGTATAAAGATATAACACCCCATTCACCATAGCAGCATGCTGTAGTGAATATGGTGCCAGAGCAGTCTTGGTGCCTCTCATTTTATGGAGTCAAGTCATTTTAGAACAGTTTGACTTCTTACATGGAGTACGCCAGACACCGCTCGCAGATTTTATTTCCTATGGAGAGAAGGATTCAGAAAAGAGAGGAGGTAAAACAGAATGTTTATTTTTCTTCTCCTCCAGTGCAAAGTGCGTCCTGACTGGATGTTAGTAGTTTAATGTGATTCTGTTATAACAAAATAACTTCCCTTGCCTCAAATTGCATATAATGGGGCAGAGCTTGCTACAACACTGCACCAGACGCCATTTCTAGTAACTCCCGACAAACTTTTATAATCTGGGCGATATCAGCGAAACTGGCACCCATCCAGCCTTGCAAACCACACAACCAGAACCAGCACGGCAAGCTGCGTCGATAGATGCCATTCTTTCAAGCCCAAAAGTTGGCCCAAGCGGGAGTCATTCCCAACCCAGAGTAGGGATGACCAGAGACCCCTCTGAACACAAGGGCAACACAGCCACAACAGCTTAAATCCTCTGATGACTCCAGCCACCAAGGGAGATCTAAAACTCCTGCTAGCCGACATCCACAAGCTCTTAGCAGCCAATTCGGCCCTCCTCAAGACAGAAGTGCAAGCGGTCACTGACCGATTGAAAGCCATGGAGGAAGACGTGGTGGACATTAAATCTCACCTAACATCACTTGATGAAAAGGTAAAACATATACAGCAACACCAGAAACTCATGGCACTCAAAATGGCAATCATAGAGGCAAAGGCACACACACACTAAAATTAGGGGAATCCCCACCTCCAACTCGGCAGAGGAGTTGCCGCACTTCATGAGGTGTCTTCTGACCACTATACTCCCCCACGCAGCTGCAAGGAAAATCGCAATTGATAGAATCTATCACCTCCTGAACTACACACGCCTGAAGTCCCCTGCAGCCCGAAATGTAATTCTACGTTGTGTTACAGTCCAAGACAAGCTCCATATCATGGCTGAGCTTAATGGCCAAACACCCAGACCCAGAACTCACCTTTTATCAGGACTTGTCAAGGGCCACTCTACTACGGTGCAAATCGTACGGCCCGGCCACCACACCACTACGCATAGCAGGCGTAGCCTACAGGTGGGGAACAGGAGGCACCTTGGCAGTTACCCACTCAGGGACAACACACGTCCTCACCTCAATGGATGAAGCCACTATCTTTCTGGAAATCCTTGGCTTGTCGGATGAGACCACACCGAGGCCTGCGAAGAATCATGGAGATTCCATGAACACTTAGATTAACCTCGGTCTGACTGTGTCGGACTACTTCCCAATAATTTACCACACCAAATTAGATGTTATCTTTTATTGTTTTCATTTTTTATGTGTTTTCCCTTTTTAATCACTCCCGTATACTGAGGTTTCAGTTCTTAGGGCGCATAACTCAGACCAACATCCAGACACACACCTAGGCAACCATACGGGTACAAGACCCCACGACCTCGACTATTTTGAGGACACCCCGACAGGCTCCTATCTCTCACACCCCCCCGCATCCTCCTTGGTTAGGGGTTCTCACCCTCAATGCAGAGGCAGAGAAGGGCATTCCAAACACCAGAATTGCCAACAAACCCGTCACACCTGACACGAACGCAATGTCAACGATCCCTGCTTACACTAGACACAGCGTGACTCAGACATGACCATAGACACACTAAACAAAATCAATGCCCTCACGAGAGCAGACTACCAGCCTGACGCCCTGCTGATAAAGGACACCACAGTGTCCTACAACTACCCGCCTGCCCAGCATTCGCTCCACCACAACTAGCTTGTTACTTAGTAGATACTAAATTCCATCACACAGGCTACATACCTGCACATGCAAACTATAGATAAACCCAGACCAAGATTCCTCGCACTTGACCAGAACCTCTCGGCTCCGCTGGGCCTACTCCACTAGGTAGATGTGACCAACTAAACTGTTTACTGTTTCTGTTTTGTCTTATTAAAAAATGTCTTTCTGTGCCATGCTAATGTTACACCACGTATACTACATCAATGCTTGATAAATCTGATATGCCAGCACATGCTTGTTTGAAAACATTTTGCACTTCAAAATAAAGCATTAAAAAAAATAATAAATTCAATACGCCATATATCACAAATATACATGGTGTATTCAATGTAAAATATTAACATATACTCACCTTGCTTTCTCTACTGTTTTCAGCGCTGCCATCTTCTGAATTTTGTCGGTGTTACTCTTCTTGTAACACTCGCCTCTGGTCCTTGTCCTCTCCTCCTATGGTCTTCTTTCATTTGCCCTGCTCTCGAAATATTTCCCTAATCAGGGGATACCTCCTCAATGACACTTATTCGCTGCCTTCATTGCCAGCATGCCAGCACTGGCAGTGTTGTCTAGAGAGTTTCCATAGCAATCGCAGCACATACACTAATGCATCTAAGTGTGAGTGACCTATTTTTAATAGATAGTATCAATCTGTACATTTGCTAGAATATCTGCCAACACAATGTATAGATAGAATTTAATGCCCTTTCTGAGGAGCATTACTAGTTTGGTGCATGATTAGTGTCCTTTAACCTTTAATTTGCATATAGAAGGGTATTGCATGAAAGAATAATGCCATCAGTAAGTGATTTCCATAAAAAAGTGACTAATATTAAAATAAAAGACAATATATTCAACGGTGAAATGAAAATAGGAACTAAAGCTATCCAAATTATATTTATATTTTACTGCTCAGTGTAGCTTCCGTCACTAGTGTATATTGTTCATATCTGAATATTAAATGATATGATGCCTCTTCTCTGATATCCCTGTACCTAGGCTCAGCCCACAGCTAGAGACAGATGTCATGTTGGATGAAGTTAGTGACGAAGTGTTGGTTAACATGCTTTGGGAAACACAAATATACATCTTCCAGCAGAGGGACGTCTGGCACAAACTGGCAAAGATATTACTTGAACCCTGAGCCCTGTTCCCCCGACGTGGACTCAATATGAAAGATGAATGAAGATCCTCAAGAACTTTCCATCCCACAATGTGCATGTCTTTGAAGGTTCATATTCTGCTCTTAAATACTTTAAACTCAATCTACTCTCAAATGGTTATTTCTGTGACTCAGGACCATTCTCCTGCTTTATCCAAGAGCTCTAATGATCCATGAGAAGTTGTGACTTTGAAACAAGTATTCCATTGAATAGCCCTGAATACTTTCTTAGTGTTTCTAATCATTGTGTGAGAAACAGACTTACTCGTTGTCCCCTCATTATTGATGCCCAGTACATCATATGGTGGTTTGATGTAAATATCTTGCAGCTATATAAAATTTATAAATTACATAGCTAAAACCTTTTATCAGTGGTTTAACTGCAAATTAATTCATAGGATGAACGCCCAACATTTGCTTTCAGTGTCCCAAAAATTGTGACACAATATAGACCTCAAACCAAGATAAGACACAAAACGTTGTCTTGTACAGGTTAAATGTAGAAAATGAAAACCTCTTGATACAAGTGGAGTTATTTATGTCATGCGTAAGTTAACCTTGCTACAGTCAGTATTTCTGCTTTTTTAGGCTCATTCAAATGCCTTTCATAACTTGAGGATAGTCGCACACATAATACATATTTCACAATGTTTCTGCACTCTCTACCTCCAGGTTTTTAATATTTAATTGTGATCGTTTTCCTTTATGATGTGTTTTTGTATGGCTTGTGTTCGAGAGCACCATTTCTCTTGTGAATTTACACTACATAAAGGATCTGATAAAGGTTCAGTACTTTAACAAGTACATGCTAGACTACTATCCATGGTGTCTAGATGTAAAAGAAACATCGAAGATAGAGGTGTGTCCAAGCACGTACTGCTCAAGATGGGCAGTAATGACATAGCCAACGCATCTGAGACTTTCCGAGGACTGGCACTCCAAGAGTATAATAAACATTAACAGTATTACAGTGCAATTATTTTAATTACACATAGCAGTCAAATCAACTGGAAGCAGAATACACAAATAGCTAATGCAATGTATTAAATAATTTGCACTCCAAATATAAGCACGCAGAACATTCTACTCTAATACTGAAAAGACGTATTGATTAGCATCCTTGAGTTTACATTATTAATCAAGTCTATATACTGTGGAAAATATTTCATATAATTATAAAACTGACTGTTCTATATACCGGTATTCTAATCAGTACGTATAGTAGGCTCACATATTTGTCTGCTATATCTTAAGCATTAATAATGTGTTCCAGTTTTTCATCCTTATGATACAGAATGTTAAATTTAATGAAGATGCGCCATGTTTTGGAAGGTGCATGTTTGTCATCTTCGGATAAAATATGCTTTCAACACAACAATAAAGTAGTGATCTACAAAAATATTGTTGTATGGGTGGTAGTTCGCTCAAAGAGTAGGTGTGTAAGAAGAAACATTCCATAACTCCAAGGTAGTGTAAACAACAAATTGATACGTTTTGACCATGGGGATCATGCAAAGCATGAGGACGTCCAGAATTGTTTCAAGGAGTTAAACACTGTAAAATGCAGGAAGTGCCTCCAGTGGCTGTCAATATAAACATTGCATGGCTATGGGGATTGAGGCGCTGCACCTAGACCACTTCAATGAGATGAAGTGGTCTGGGTGCCATAGTGTCCCTTTAAATTGTTACTCCAGGCACTATGACCACTACAGGGATTTGGAGCGTTCATAGTGCATGGAGTCTGTATG